CACCAAAAATTATATAAACCTGCCGCCCCTGCCAACAGAAGTTGGTCCAATAAAAGATACTACCTCACCCACCTTGTCTCTGTAATATCCTGAGGTCACACAGCTGCAACAACACTGCATACAACATGTAGGAGCATTTTTATAAATAAAGTTAAATGCAAAAATATCAGTCCAATGTAATTTGAGATGGTCCAGATTTTAAGTCTCTGTTTCTCTTATTTAATATTGTATTGATTTTGTTGTATGCAGATAAAATCAAAGGTAAAAACAATTCCATACACACAAAGGAAAATGGAGACACAACATATGATGGGAATTGCACTTTTCCCAAGCATTCAGACAATGGAATATTTGAGAACAGGTGAATTGACATGGATATAAAATCAAAGGTGTTTAAAGCTGTACAAACTAGCTTTATGTCTTGGATCAACTATGCTGACCCTTTGCTGAAGTGACACAAGCACAGTAGCATGAACACTGCCCTGGCCCTGCAGTTCTCTGGCGGAGACCTATGTTAGATAATGCAGGTGGGATGAAGCCTTCTTCCCATCAGTGATGATATCACCAATTACCTACTGTGCTGACCTCAGTGTTCCCCGCCATGTGTCACAATGAGGCTATTTGCATTCAGCAGCAGAAGTCTGTGCGGGGGTGGTGGCAGCAGCAGAACTGTTATTATCACAGCAGCTACCAGTACTCAGAAACACTCATCCCTTCTTTAGAGGAGGCACAGGATGCTACTCTCTCCGTCTGTTTCCCTCGCTTCCTGATAATGCTGCACACTCCCCAGGCCGCATGCATCAGTGTTTCTATTCACTATTGTCTCCTGGGTTACAGAATCAAAATATACTCAGTGAAACTGGGAATCTCTCATCAGTTCTGTACCCACCAGTATACATTAACTTTGTAGAGGTCTGAATCACAGAATCATAGGGGACAAATTTTGTGGTCCTTTACTGAGCAAAACTGTCACTGAACTCCTTGAAGTTTTGCTCAGATAAGGACAAAAGAGGAGGGTCCATAGAAACCAGAGATGGAAAAGACCTCTTAGGACACATCAGGCCTGATTTACACTCACACTGGCAATTCCATTAAATCCAATCCAGATTCACACCATGAAAAGAGGATCAGACATGTCTACTCCAGCCATTCTACTACAGGAATCATAGAATCATAGAATATCAGGGTTGGAAGGGACCTCAGGAGGTCATCTAGTCCAACCCCCTGCTCAAAGCAGGACCAATTCCCAGTTAAATCATCCCAGCCAGGGCTTTGTCAAGCCTGACCTTAAAAACCTCTAAGGAAGGAGATTCTACCACCTCCCTAGGTAACGCATTCCAGTGTTTCACCACCCTCTTAGTGAAAAAGTTTTTCCTAATATCCAATCTAAACCTCCCCCACTGCAACTTGAGACCATTACTCCTCGTTCTGTCATCTGCTACCATTGAGAACAGTCGAGAGCCATCCTCTTTGGAACCCCCTTTCAGGTAGTTGAAAGCAGCTATCAAATCCCCCCTCATTCTTCTCTTCTGCAGGCTAAACAATCCCAGCTCCCTCAGCCTCTCCTCATAACTCATGTGTTCCAGTCCCCTAATCATTTTTGTTGCCCTTCGCTGGACTCTCTCCAATTTATCCACATCCTTCTTGAAGTGTGGGGCCCAAAACTGGACACAGTACTCCAGATGAGGCCTCACCAATGTCGAATAGAGGGGAACGATCACGTCCCTTGATCTGCTCGCTATGCCCCTACTTATACATCCCAAAATGCCATTGGCCTTCTTGGCAACAAGGGCACACTGCTGACTCATATCCAGCTTCTCGTCCACTGTCACCCCTAGGTCCTTTTCCGCAGAACTGCTGCCTAGCCATTCGGTCCCTAGTCTGTAGCTGTGCATTGGGTTCTTCCGTCCTAAGTGCAGGACCCTGCACTTATCCTTATTGAACCTCATCAGATTTCTTTTGGCCCAATCCTCCAATTTGTCTAGGTCTTTCTGTATCCTATCCCTCCCCTCCAGCGTATCTACCACTCCTCCCAGTTTAGTATCATCCGCAAATTTGCTGAGAGTGCAATCCACACCATCCTCCAGATCATTTATGAAGATATTGAACAAAACCGGCCCCAGGACCGACCCTTGGGGTACTCCACTTGATACCGGCTGCCAACTAGATATGGAGCCATTGATCACTACCCGTTGAGCCCGACAATCTAGCCAGCTTTCTACCCACCTTGTAGTGCATTCATCCAGCCCATACTTCCTTAACTTGCTGACAAGAATACTGTGGGAGACCGTGTCAAAAGCTTTGCTAAAGTCAAGAAACAATACATCCACTGCTTTCCCTTCATCCACAGAACCAGTAATCTCATCATAAAAGGCGATTAGATTAGTCAGGCATGACCTTCCCTTGGTGAATCCATGCTGGCTGTTCCTGATCACTTTCCTCTCATGCAAGTGCTTCAGGATTGATTCTTTGAGGACTTGCTCCATGATTTTTCCAGGGACTGAAGTGAGGCTGACTGGCCTGTAGTTCCCAGGATCCTCCTTCTTCCCTTTTTTAAAGATTGGCACTACATTAGCCTTTTTCCAGTCATCCGGGACTTCCCCGGTTCGCCACGAGTTTTCAAAGATAATGGCCAATGGCTCTGCAATCACAACCGCCAATTCCTTCAGCATTCTCGGATGCAACTCGTCCGGCCCCATGGACTTGTGCACGTCCAGCTTTTCTAAATAGTCCCTAACCACCTCTATCTCCACAGAGGGCTGGCCATCTCTTCCCCATTTTGTGATGCCCAGCGCAGCAGTCTGGGAGGAGGGAACAGTTCAAGATTGCACCCTATGATCTGTTCTCCTGTGTTTATTTATCCACATAATGTTTTATAGTGCTCATCATCACAGTATCTGACCACCTTACAAATGTAAATGGATTTAGCTTCACGACACCCCATTGAGGGAAGTATTCAGTGGTGGTTAAAAAAAAAATTGGGTAAACTAACCTAAACTCAACTTCATAGTCCCCAAATGAGAAGATAAATTCCACAGTCCCCAACTGAGAAGTGGGTAACCTCAGTTTATCTGAGTTTACCCTTGACTACACTACTGAAAGTATTATTACCCCAGTTTACAGATGGGGAAACTAAAGTGCACAGAGGCTAAAGCCCAAATATTTATCAGCTGGCGCTGACTTTGGGTACCCAATTTGAATTGCTTTGGAACTGATTTTTCAAAGGTGCTGACCACTTGTAACTTCTGTTTATTTTGCTTGACTCTGCCTACTTTATTCACGTTGAGTAGCACTTGAATCCACAAATATTCCTGTTGACCTCATTGGGGATCACTCAAGAAATGAGGTGTTACTCAATGTGACTGATATTATCAGAATCTGGCCCTACATGGAGGCTATCGGTGCTAAGCACTATTAAAAAGCAAAGCCTCAGCTGGCCACCCAGAATCCGTAAGCCCTTTTGACCTTACAAACTTACCTGAAGTAATACTCAGTGAATGTCTGTAGAAAAGCTGGGAGTAGAACCCAGACCGCCTGACTCCCATGCCACTGCTTTAGCCTTTGTATAGATATTTATACCCGTGCAAAGAGGGTTTAAAGTGCTACCAAATCAGAATGGTTGTGTCTGATACACACTTGGCATAGGTGTAAATGACACACAAGGTGCAAGACAGAGGAGAATGAGGCCCAAGATCACCCTTCCTCTCATGCTAGGCTTCTTCCCATAGATATTCCCATAGATAATTCCCTCTGGTATATTCTCCAGGGAAGAATGGTTCACTGGTATATTTTCCAGTGCTAGGATTGCTCCTTATGACACAGAACATAATCTGTGGTCTATGGATCAGCAGTTGTCTACAAAGCACTTATGCCACAGATGGCTAGTTGGTCATATGATGATGGCTCTCCTCCTTATTACCAGCTGCAAAAGTACACTAACAGAAAATGAAATGCATTAAATGCTTTCCTAATAATTCTTTGACATATAAACTCTTGCTGCTGTCCCTGGGAATTTACAAAAGGAAGTCAAATAGGAGGAGAGGTGAGTCACTATTAGAGCTGGCCAAAAAAATTTGAACCACTGTTTACTGAAAATTATCTTTTTTTAAAAACCCATTTTTTTCTGAAAAGTAACAGACATTGCAGTAATTCTTTTTTTCATTATTAGACATTTGCCTTTTGAAAAAGAGACTTTTTAATCGTTTTTCTTTTTATCTAAAACATTCTTGAAAATGTTGTCAAGCTATTTCCTTTCCCGGAAACCCTGTGTTTGATCAACTAAACAATCCGGTTTCAAATTTTGATGACAAACGTTTTGCAAAGGTTGTTTTAAAGGAAAAATGAGTCAATTTCAAACCCTTTGCAACAAGACCCGAATACAAAGTGTGTTCATAGAATCACGAAACTGGACGGGACCTGGAGAGACCATCCAGCCCAGTCCCCGGCCCTCATGTTCATCTTTTGGCAAGCCCTCTCTGCACGGCGCAGTGTCACAGCTAGAGACCCGCTGCACTATGGGGAAGTCTGCGAGACACCTTCGTTGCCTTCCCAAGGCAGGAACAGGAGCTTGGCTTGCACGGCGCAGGCTGCAAGCCGCAGACGCTGCCCCCTTTGAGGGCATGCTTGCTGCAGCGTCACAGGTCCCCGACCTCAATCTGGTTTATTTATTTAGAAATGTTACTATAAATTCTCTCATTAATTAAATCCCCAGCCTGGAAAAACGCGAAGAGTCTAACTTCCCCCTTCCCCAGAAAGAAACCAAAACCAAAACAAAGCCAGAGGCTTTTGGTTCCACTGGGGCTCGAACCCAGGACCTTCTGCGTGTAAAGCAGACGTGATAACCACTACACTATGGAACCGCCGCACGGCTGCACTCCGCCGCCGCCGCCTTTGTGCAGGAAGACACCGCAAGCCTCCGGCTCCCCGCCCACGCCGCGAGAACGAGCGGCTGCTGGCCCCGGCGCGCGGCGCCTCCCGGGAGCCGAAGCAGGAGCCGCCGCGCGCGCGCGCGCGCGCCTCAAAGCCGCCCCTGTGCCCAGCGCGTGGCGCCCCCTTCCCCCGCAGCCCTGGGAGCGCGCGGCTTGCTCCGGGCCGGCCCGCGCCGCGTCCCAGAGAAGGCAGCGGCCAGGCGCGAGCCGAGCGGCAGCGGGCGGGGTGTTGGGAAGGAGCCACCTGCCTCCAGCCGCGAACCCTGCCGTGCCCGGAGCTTCCCTTTGGCCGGGGCGGCGCGCAGCCGAGCTAGACGCCGGTTTCTACTGGCTTCGCCCCTGCGGCGCCTGAAAGGCGAGTGTGTCGGATTTGAGTTTCGCAGGTGACTGGCCCGGGGGGTGAAGCGATTGCGCCTGGCCTGTTGGAAGGTTCAAGGAAGGACGAAGGTATCCGGCAAAAGCCGTTTCGCCGAGACCGTTCAGTAGCCGCCGCGTGCTCCGGCTGCAGCGCCTGGCTCGTCCCGCCCCGAGGAGCGTACAGTCTGAAGTGCCAGTGCCCCACGGGTCTCCGCAGAGGCACGTAGCACGATGGACGCGGCTACCGCTGGGTTTGTACATGAGGGAAACCGAGGCCCACAGAGGTTTCCTGGCTGCCTCAAGCCAGTGGTTGACCAAAAATGAATTTCTACTTTGTCTTCAGAACAAGAGTCCTTGTGGCACCTTAGAGACTAACCAATTTATTTGAGCATGAGCTTTCCTGAGCTACAGCTCACTTCATCGGATGTAGCTCACGAAAGCTCATGCTCAAATAAATTGGTTAGTCTCTAAGGTGCCACAAGTACTCCTTTTCTTTTTGCGAATACAGACTAACACGGCTGTTCCTCTGAAACCTGTCTTCAGAACGTTTGCAATTCAGATGCATTTCTAGCAACCAAAGGGGTCATGTCCACACTGGGGACTGTGCTGGCGGTTCTAGCTATAGCCATTTCTCAGCACGGTTCTGGTCAGGAATCTGCACGGCAGGACGGGTGTTATTTTCTGAGACTCATGCTGTAGTCGATCCCCAAAGCACTTAATAAATTTAGCGCTGTTTTGTAATGTGGTTCAAAGACCAAAATCCCTTTTATCCGTGCCGATCAGGGAAAGCGGTAGAAGCCTTTGAGCCGTATTTTTTCAGAGGCACTTTTCTTGAACACACTTCTGGGGGCTGTGGGGAGCACTTGATCCTGCACTCATTTTATAAAACTATAATATAATTACCTACACGACTGGGACAGCATGAGTAGGAGGGTGAAACTTCCTTATCCACACTAACCAAGGAGATGGTTGTTGACCTGGGTTGTAGCACTATTGTGTTTAAACACAGTAATAATTTCACTCAGTTCTCTAGCGTGAACAAAGCCACAGTACTGTGCATGAGTGCTGAGGGTCCTGCAAGGAGTTAGTTACAGGTGACATTAATTGTAATGGAAGTCAACAAGATTGCTCACCTGCATAGCAGTTCAGCATGTGTATGACTATTTGTAGCATTGAGGGCCTAGGTTGTTTGTGCCTCAATGCAGATTTTCATGACATGTCTGAAGGAGCAGTTAAGAAGTATTTAACATTTTTAATTAACACATTTTAATGTTTTAATAAATTCTTCAGCCCTGGACTATAAATGCTTTGAAGGGGCAGTAACAGTAAGTAGAAGGGTGGGGGGAATCTAGCTTTGTTTAATTGTCTGTTTAAAAATGACACTGTCAGGACTGACAACTTTGTTTTTATTTGCAACCTTAGTTGTATACATCCTGCCAGTCCCCTACTTTGCTTATTTGCTCTATTCTTGAGAACAAGAAGAGAACAGATTCTTAAATTGATATATTACATTTCAATACCCAGCATGCTGACAGAATGGTTAAGGGGCAGGATGAGCGTAGTGAGCTGCTGGAAGCGGTGCGGGCCGAGGGACGTACTGGCTGCTGCTTCCCGCAGCCCCCATTGGCCTGGAGCAGCGAACCGCGGCCAGTGGAAGCCATGATCGGCCGAACCAGTGGATGCGGCAGGTAAACAAAACAGCCTGGCACGCCAGGGGCTTTCCCCGCACAAGCGGCGGAACAAGTTTGGGAACCACAGATATATTGCGGCTTTTTAAAATCACTTTTTCATTGGGAGGAAAACAGCGGTGATATATTCTCTTTGGCGTAGAGGATAGGTCTTTTTTAAAAAAGGGTAATAAGGAAATGGGTAGAATTTGTCAGTCTTGTATAGTGTCCCTTTAAGAAGTTGTGAGATAGTCCAGAATGGATCCAAAGTAGTAGTTATTATGATTTATCCTAACAATAATTATGTAGTACATATTAGTGATTGAATTTGTTTGCGATCATTAAGAAAACAAACCGGATATATTTGCTTTCTAAAATCTGCATAAAAATATTAAGCATTTTCCTTTAAATGAGAGAAGTCAAAAAAGGTAAAAGAGAAGCCTAAAACTGCGTTCTTTAACCCATCCCATTTTGCCTCTTGTTCTAATACATAAGATCTGCCGTACCCAGGACACTGCGTGCTAGGGTACCTAAAGGATAAATTATCACCTTAACTGTGAGGCATCTGTTTTTTAACTAGATCGTTACTTTTACTTTGATACAGGTGTGTTTTCAGTGAACACAATAAGTTGAAGGACAGACAAGAGCTTTGGAGGTGCCATTTTCTTACAATGTAGCTTTGAGGATATGTCTTCTGTCAGTAGAGGGCTCTCAGTGCTCACTTCGATGAGTTGCTCATTCCCTGTAGTTCCTGATGCTCTCCTTACCCAACTAACTGTTCCAAATCTTTATGGTATAACACAAGTTTGTGTAGGTACAGTGAAACACAGTCTGTAGGTATTCTGAAATACCCCTTTGCAACACTGCACCTTTGTAACATTTTTTTAGTGCTAGCTAACACACCTCAGTAAAAACATCATCCTGTAAACACCTGTATTTGTGCTTTGCTTTTCTACCATGAGTAGTCCAATCAAAGTCCATATCACAGTAGTAAAGTTCAGGATATATTTACAGGACTGGCCCCTTAAAAATGTAATCAGAAATTCCATGACTCAGGATTAAGAAGGTCAGAAACATGTTATTCTTCATTAGCACGAGGGGCAGAAAACTCTAAAATTTAAGTTTGTTTACATTTGTAGTTAAGCATGTATGCCTTCATTTTTTTTGTTACTAATGTTTTCTTTAAGTAACTTACGATGTACGATAATTGATTGTGACTAGGAAGAAAAGTGTTAAAGTTCATTTTTCATTAGGTGTAATTTCACAATAATAAGGGGAAAGGACGGGGAGCAAACAACTTCATGCTTCTCTTGCCACATGTCCAATGGCTGCAAGTACTAGCTGGCAAATCCAGTTTTAGAAAACAAACCAAAAACACACTTTTAGGGACCGGCTAATCAGTTACTTTTAGTATTAATAGTTTGAAGAGCCTATTAATAATTATACTTTAGCTCGCACAGGAGGTAAGTATCGTTATCCCCATTTTACACATGTGGAAACTGAGGCACGGGGTGGGAAGGCCCAGCTATACAAAGAATCTTTGATGCCTAAATGTCAGATTTATATGGCACTGTGAGCCACAAACTCTAACTCTGGAGGCACCTAAACTCACTCAGTGCCTAAATTTTTGCTGCAAAGTTCACCGAGGCACCTAAGTTTCTGCATCCTAACGCATATCTCACACCTAAGCCCTAGAGGGATCCTCAAAACAGGGGAAGATGAGCAGAGGAGTGCCTGTATCACCTGCAGGGCCTGATGCGATAGATGTGCTCAGAGCATACGTAACTCCACACAAAATGGGCAGGAGGAGGCAGCAGCAGCCTCCCTTATAATCTTTAGCCCAGTGGTTAAAGAATGTCACCCAAGATGGGGGAGAGCCTGATTCAAATTCCCCCTTTTCCTGATGAGGAATGAGGATTTGAACAGGAGTTCCCCACCTCCCAGGGGAGTGCCTGAAGCATGGAGTCCTTCTCATGCTCTTTCTGGCTCGCTGCATATTTAAGTGTTTAATAGAAAGCAGAACGGCTTCAGAGGGAGAGATGGAGAGGGAACCACCTCAGAATGTGCCACAGCCCACTGCAGTCATCTGAGAGGGGGGAGCCCCGGTTCAAATCCCTCCTCCTGCAACACCTTTGTGGGTCTGGGCTGTAGTGGCGTGGTCATGCAGGAAGGCTGTGACTTGAGTCTGTGAATTAAAACCCAGGTTTCAGGCATCCGAGTCCAGTGCCCTCTCCACTAGGCTGTCCTTCTCTGGTACTGCCAGTTCCTGTGCCGCTGTATCCGTCTTCATCTCTCTCTAAAATGTGTTGACTACCAGCTATCCTTTAGTGCAGGGGTTCTCAAACTTCACTGCGCCGCGACCCCCTTCTGACAACAAAAATTACTACACGACCCCAGGACGGGGGACTGAAGCCTGAGCCCACCCAAGTCCCGCCGCCCTGGGTGGGGGGCCAAAGCCTGACCCCGGCGCCCTGGGTGGGGGGCTCAAAGCTGAAGCCCAAGGGTTTCAGCCTGAGGCAGGGGGCCTGTAATGTGAGCCCCACCACCCAGGGCTGAAGCCCTCGAGCTTGGGCTTCGGCCCCATGTGATGGGGCTCAGGCCTTGGCCCCAAACCCCAGCAAGTCTAAGCCATCCCTGGCAACCCCGTTAAAACAGGGTTGTGACCCACTTTGGGGTCCCAACCCACAGTTTGAGAACCGCTGCTTTAGTGATTAACTCTCATGAAAAGTACCTTCAGTACCTTAAAACACTTTTTTTTTTTTTTTTTTTTAATTTCAGTGGTTCCTGGAGGCCCCAGTAGAGATGAAGGATTGGTTGCCAGGCACACCACACACACACCCCAAAGCCCTGCCCTGAACAGTTTACAATCTAAATAGACAAGACAGACAAAAGTTGGGAGGGGAGACTGAGGCACAAAGACAGTTGAAGTGGCTTGCCTTTGGTCACAGGGGAGATGAATGGGTAAGGTGGGACCAGAATCCACATCTCTGACTCCCAGTCCAGTGTACTGTCTAATGCACCACACTACCTTGTCCTACATTCAAGAAAAGGGTACTAAAATAGGATTAGACTTAGTTAGATTCAATAGTATTTTATGAGGGGAAACATTAAAGTACTGGAATAAATATTTTCCCAGAGTCTTTTAGCATGTTACCCTTTGAAAATATCCCCTCACCTTTTTTTTTTGTACCATATGTGGTGTGATTTAAGGCAAAGGAAATCTGAGTTTAATGTACTCAGGGAGGCATGTACTCAAAATGTCTGTGTGTGGGTGTCTGAACCTCAACATTAGTTTAATTTGTCTGTTTTTTAGTTTCCATTTTTAAAAACTTGAATGCAGATGTTTGGTATTATCTTGGCAATGTCACGTGATTTTCAGACTTTGATGGATTTCATCTTTCTAGTGTAGTTTCCTACTGAAAAGTCAGAGGAATGCTTTGAATTTTTCTTTCGATTATTGTGACAATAGTATGTACCTTTCAAGTGAAGAGGGAGTTTGCATTAGAGATATGAATGCATGTCTATGCTCTCCCTCAGTAGCTGTTTTTGAAAGTGAATTATTGTGTAAAATCATTGTTAGATCT